TTGCTTGAAGACCTTTGCTATTGATCTCCTTGCTGATAGTAAGACATTTTTGCAACAATTCTGTGGCCTTATTAATGTTATTCAGCCTTGCATACATTGTTCCCAAGTTATTTAATTCAGCTGCTAGACTTTCCTTATTTCCAGTTTTAACAGTTATCAGAAAACTCTCCTCTCTTAGACGAATTGCATCATGGAACTTTCCTTGCATTTGATACAATAATGACATGTTTGAATAGCAAATCCCTAATCCTTTGTCATTTTTTAGTTGTTTGTACAAATAAATAGCTTTTTTATAGCACTTAATACTATTTTGACAGTCACACAGGCAATGGTAAGCACGCCCAAGACCTCTATACGACATTGCTATTAGACTAGAGTCACCGATTCTAATTGCAACTTTGAAGCCTTGTTTTGAATACTCCATGAACTTTTTATAATCTCCCAGTTTTTCACACGCTTCACCAATGTGACAACAAATCTCACACTCTAGTTTCTTGTCACCAGTCTCTTGTACTATTTCCAGTCCCTTCCCATAGTATTCAACAGCTTCGTGATAATTTTCTATTTCAAGGTAAACGCTGCCTAGTCGTGCATCAGACTCTGATTCTTCCTTTTTAGATCCATTCTTTTGTGCAATCACCAGGGCCTTTTTAAAATATTTTATTGCACCTTTACAGTCACCGGCTTCTAGTCTTAAATCACCAAGAGAAAGTGCTTTTGACCATTTCATGGCTTCCGCTTCGAGGACTTCAATATATCACATTGGGCTTCCTGAGTTTTCAAAAAGACGGAAATGAAGCATAATTATCAAACTTGAACCAAAGCGCTGAATGTTTTGCATGATACCAGTTAAGCGTTTGGTGTCTTGCTTAAGGTATAGCTAACACTTTTTGGTGTCTTTTAAGTTGTTTAATAGATGATATTAAACACTGAACACATAATGTTGTCATACCTTTTGTACTGTGTCGAGTTGTTCATTAAAATCTCATTTTATGCAAACACTGTCCCTCGTTATTCACACAAAACATAAGTTTCTTGCTAGAAAATCGTTCAAGTAAACTTCAGGCTATCAAGTGATTCTTTTCAAGTCGATTTTAAAGTATTGTTCGTTCGAGAATGACCGAAACTTGATTTTCTCAAATTCCCGGAATAGTCCTGTCGTTTGTAGTTCCGCTGTACAGGAGTACCAGAAGTTTGGCTCAACCCACCGGAAATGACAAATGTTTTCAGTGAACTTTTAAAGAAATTTGGGGATCGTGATCTATCGTAGGTTTCGCAAGAATGAAAACGGAATTCCTAATATTAATTCAATTAATATCGTGAATAATCAAGGTTAGTGTTGGGGATAGATTAGGATTAGAGTTACGATAGGTCAGGTCTCTTTATGACCAATTTTGGTCAGATATTTTCAGAAGTTACAAAAGGACCAAAATTTGCACGTAACATTCTCCCTTACTAATTAACAATTAGACCTCGAGGTCGAGTGGACTACGAGCTAATAGCCCATGAGGCCGAGTCCGCGAGGCCGAATGGGCTATTAGCTCGTAGTC